ACTAGCCTAACGGCAGTCTGAAATCTGACAACTCGGAAGAGAATGATTTGCTTTCTTCATTTTGATCTGTCCTGCCTAAGACGGCCACCAGTGTTATACGGACACTTTTCTCCATGACAATGGGTGGCCATTTTACACATGTTTGACTGTAACTCCACACTCCCCCCCACCCCCTTCCCGGCACCTGTGTGTAATGTGACTCACTGAGATCCAAGACGTCCTCCATCTTGATGCACATCTCCTCCTTGGTGAGTGGCAGCTGTGTCTCCACCTCATGCATCAGACTCAGGGACAACTCACGCACCATGAAGAACACACGGATTGCCTAAAGTACGGACATACATGTGCATAATGATAGAACATATCTTACCAGATCAGACTGAGGGACAATCACGAAGAACATAGAACGAGAAGGGAGAGGACCACCCCCCCCACACACACACACCACTTCTTTACATACAAATGCATGTAAACAAAAAATTATATTCTGATGTTCTTTGTTCTTTGAAAACAATTACCGACATCTTTGAGCACAAAATGGGCTAGATAAGAATATTGCAAGAATCCACACCTTATAATGAGATAAGGGACCAGACAGTGAAAATGGCAAAACCTTATACAACTGAGCTGCCTCTCAGTATAGTCGTACAGTTAACAATAATGACATATACATGTGTATACAGCAGAAAACCTCTATTCCCAGACATAAAGAAACTGGCTAAAACAACTGCATCCACTAATTTAAACAAGACTAAATTTTGCATTGCAAAAAGTTGACCAAAATTTAACTTCTAAAACCACAGATAAAGGAAAAAGTCTCTCTTTTCCAAACAAAAATAAAAGTAAACCCCAAAAAAGGAAAAAAATATCTTGATTAACAATGGCCATATGAACTACAACAAAAATTCAGTTTACGAGCCCACTTATTCAGCGATACCAATAGATCAGGCACTGATATACACTTGGGATATGGTGTATTTAGACCAGTTTAAAATACTATTTTTAAAAAAAACTTCTGGTTAAAAAAAATACACCTTCACTGTTGTATGAGACAAGAGCCAGGGCTGAAGGCTTCCCATTTACAAAAGAGTAAAACAGCTACAGCACCTGAGACAACAAAACCTTCAACCCTGTGTCTTCAGCATCCAGACACACACAGACAAAACCCACTGTAACTTATGTAGTTCTATATACAGCCTATAGAGACATCTGTGAGTCAGAGTTTAAAATCTCCTGATGCAATTTCATTCCGTACCAAGTGTATTGTTCAAGCTCCCTTGAAAACATATAATAAAGCACTATATCGTATAAGAACAGAACCGAGTACCATCTATGGTGGTAAACAAAATTGCTTTTTACTCCCAAGAAAATTCTGATATTATAGTGGTTTCAAGGCAGAGTCCGATAACGTTTGGACTATATCCCCTCAGCTCTGGGTATGAGAGAGCCAATGTTGTTGTTCAGCCTGTGTGGTGGTGCTTGGCCTCGCTGGCCTTGTACGGGTAGTGTTCCTGCACCATCTGAGCCAGCTGGGTCAACTGTTGCGAGGCCGAGGCACCATCTGGCTTCCCGCCGACCACTGGTTCATCCCGCCGCGGGCCCCCACTGGCCACCAGAACAGCCCCAGCCCCGCGCAGCACGGAGGACGGGAGGCCAGGCACGCCTGCGTTGTCCGAGTCCACGTCCATGGAGCTCTCACTGGCCATGCTGCTCACACTGATCATGCTGGCATCACTGGACACGGCAGAGTCACTGGATGGTGTTTCCGGACTGATGGCACTGGCAGCGGTCGCACCCCCCGACCTCCCGTCTTCTCGTACGGAGACAATGGGCCCACCGTGTTGCAAGCCATGAAGGCTTAGCTTGTGGGCTGTGAGACCACCACCACTACTGCTCCCGACACCGACACTGATGGTACTGCCACTTGTGACAGTGCCTGCCTCTGTAGGGGCCTGTGGGACTTTGAACTCCGGAGTCTGACGTGAAGAAGCACCACCATGACCTGTTGCTGTCAGCGGATACTGCTTAGGTCGCGCGCCGATACCACTTGACACAGCCGTGATTGAGGAATGATCTCCCGCCTGAGCTTGACCAGCATGGCTCTGTGATGTCCCCTGGAGGGCATCGACAGGGGGTAGAAGTTGAGGAATGGGAACAGTAGCCCCGGAGGATTTTGGGTCAACGTGCTGGGACACAAGAGACACGGCAGGCGCATCGGCTGCCCTGAGCGTGGCCACGGGGGAGGGTCCCGACAGGCAGCGGCGCCGCACTGGGACATTGTTGACCCCTCCGGAGGCAGACAGTCTATGACCAATAGGCTCCATGGGATTGCTGTGACTATGTGGCCTGCCCACCTGAGTGGCTGTTGATACTTTAACCACAGGCGTTTTGCCACTGGAATTGAGCATCACGGGAGCCGAAAGCCTTCGAGAGACTTCCGTCTTGGATGCGGTGGCGGCCACAACTGAAGCGCTGGTCTCTTGCTGTTTGCTGCTGTTGCTGCGAGTGGGGCTATGGGAGTGGCTGCGCTGGAAGCGAAAAATACTCCGGTGAGCCAGGCCGCTCGGTTTAGTGCGTTCACTCGATCCTGACCTCAGGTGACTTTTGTGAGACAAATCTTCCATAGGAATCTCCATCACATGACTGTTGTTCCCATCACCACCTCTGCCCACTCCTGACATGGACCTGTGCTGGGATCGCAGAGACAGCGTGGGTGACGAAGAGTTAGACAACCCTGAGTCTGCGCCAGAGCTCTGGTTCAAAGACTGTGCAGCCATGGAGGAGGCGAAGGCGACCTCATCCAGCTCAATTGCTGACATAGCGGTCTCAACCCCAGCCAACTCCCGGCCCGGACTGTCTCTCAGCGGCGTTGACCCCCTTGAGCCAGCACCCCCACCATTTGCCCCCTGCTGCTGCTGGTTCTGCTTGCTCTTGCTCTTCTGAGCAGCTTTGGCTTGCAGTAGACGTTTCTGCTCGGGCGTGACCCGCCGGGCTGCTTTGCCCGAAACTCCAATGGCCGCTGCGGTGCTGGTGGTGGTGGTGGCTGTGGCCAGTGTGGATACTGCTGTGGTGTTGTTGGAGCCAGAGCTGAGCGAGTTGGTGGAGCTGGAGGAGACCAGAGTGGAGGAGGAAGAACTGCTCGAGTTGCCCTTGCTGCTGTCCACACGCACCGGGTGACTGCGACCTGAGGAAACAAACCAGGCAACAAATGAAACTCACCCCAACCATGGCCATATCAACAGAAGCACATCAACATAACATAGTGCTGGTTTTAGTTTTAGGAAGGTTTTACAACGCTCACAACTGCATCAAGTCATATGAGCGTCAAGGTATAGGTATCATAAACACAGACTCCTGGGCACTCGCGGCCTTCAGAGCGTGAGGAATTGGTGAAATCCGGGAAATTCAGATCGCTGTTTCTTTGCTCTTTCGCTATAAAACACCAAATGCTGTACACCTTGTAAAAGTTCAGCTTATCCTTGTTACAATGGTGTAAGTTGTTTATATTAGACCTGCATGTGAGCCTCAACCAGATTGTCTGAAAATTTTGTGCAAACCCCCCCCCCCCCCCCCCAAAAGCCTTTGTGGGTGTCATAAGGAAGGACATCCAAGTAACGAGCGACCACCCCAACAAACACAATAAAGAAGAGACCTAACCCTAACCCTACCCCCAAAAAGAACCTGCAACGGACCTCATGTAAAAAGGCCAAAACAAGTCCTAAATGAAAAAAAAATATTTTAAATTAAAAAACCACACTCCAAAACAAACAAAGAGCATATAGATCTAGATCTAGATTCTAGATCTAGATTCTATATGGCTTACATCTACATTGCTATAGATAGGGCTTGATGATACAATAACACAATAGAATTGGAATATGAATCCTCCATATAGATTTAGATCTAGTAATCTAAATAAATCTAGATCTAGATCTAGATCTTGTAGAACGAGTGGACAGGAATAGGCCTTGAACTAGAAATCCGCATCCGATTCCAAACAGAGGGACTCAGCTGAGTCTAGATTCTAGATCTAGATCTAAATAAATAAATAATTCACGCACCCGATGAAATGCTTATTTTTACCAATATTAATATTACAGCACAACCTATGATAGGGTTTGACACAATAGAATTGGAATATGAATCCTCCATTGAGGTCTATAATGATCTATATAAATCTAGATCTAGATCTAGATTCTATTAGAACAAGAGAGTCGGACTTGAATGAATCCACACGATCTGAACAATTGAATTAGTCAACAAACGAAATTCAAAATGTCCGCTCGAGCACGAAACTGAAAGTAGATAATTTAAGTTGTCGTCCTTTTTCGTATTCGCATTTCTACATAGGTTCCGACAATTATGTCGGAAACGCCGACGTCGGCAGTCAGCGGTGCGCGCGTCGGCGGTCGGCACAAAAACGAAAGTGCCGACGAAGCCGACGAGAAAAAAAAGGGTCGCTGGCAGTCGGCCAGGCCTCGCACTACGCACATTGACTGATACAGGCGGCCAAGCGATAGCATCGGCCGGTTCGCGGGTCGGGTCGTGATTGTCGGATTTCAGACGATTGTCGGCAAACATGCAGGTCTAATTATACGTCCAATTATTAGGAGCTTAAGAATCGCCGTGGAAAGCGAAGCCCCTCACGGTCAGAACACGAGGTTGGATGGTTCAAAAAGTGACATGCGTGCATTCAAATGCTTTGCGGAAAGATTGATGATTAAATACCGTCTTTTCATTGGCGGAGAACTGTAGAGCTTTGGACGGGCTTTCCCCTGGTATATTTTTGGCCTATGGCGTTTAAGTAGAAAGCCTTTAAAAATGCCGTCAAAGTTTTCAAAGAATTTTTAAAACAAAATATGTAAAATACCTGCTTAAAAAAGGTATCAATAGAAAGATCAATTCACTTTCTATTAGAAGAATATAGTAATCCGTTTGGAAATATTTTTCATCAATCATTCCGCGAAACTCGGAAAGCATGTGACCCCCCATGCGGGGAGCTCTCGGTACACTACAGTATAGAGTTGACTCGCACGCTGCGGGGGGCTGGTGGGGCGCCGGCCGGGTCAACGCTCAGTGTTTTTGTCGAAATAACGACTTATCATCGTGTTTGAGGCGATAAAATACTGATTTGTAATGATCTTACAGTCTTGAAAAAAAGTGGGCTCTATATCAATGTCATAGTTATTATACTCAGTCAATGTGGAGATGTTTGGTGCTTTTGGTACTCTTTTATTATCTGTCAAACATGAGGTTGCAGCCAGTGAGCGACAAAAACAAATTTGACCAATTTGACCAAATTTTCAACAGCTACCATTTTCTTAAAAATCAACTGAGAGGTTAAAGAATGGTACGAAAATTCTCAGGAGGTATAGGCCTTTCATATGGAACATATAAATTTGGCATATAGCTACTTTGAAAATTTAGTTTCTGGTACCTACAAGGGGTGGATAATCAATAGAGATGTCCAAACGGGGAATCAGGCTTACTCTGCTCACCTCTCTAGCCTTAACTCTTTTTATCCAGAGCATCTGCCTACCACCCACAAGTACAAAACATTGAGAATACAAAACACATGTGCAAAGACTAACATAAGTGTCCTGAAACTGTTGAATCCCACTCTGGTTTATTTTTGGGTATACATAGTTATTGGTATAATTTTAAGGCTTATTCATTTATATTGCATTTGATTTTAAAAATATCCATCAATCTTGAGTGCAAATCAAGATATTTGCCATAGAAGGAAGTGGGGTGGCCTGGTGTCAGGGGTAAGATTAGTGAGAACATGGCCACCAAATTTTGTGACTTCCAAAGTATGAGTGTCTTTGGAAATTGCAAATTTACATTCTTTGTGCCTCTGAGCAAGGTTATTAAGTACAAATTGTCCGTCATACAAAAAAATTAAAGTTTCTTCCATTCCATCATTTTGATGAGCGCCCAATTTCATCACGATGCCACACATATATGAAACACAGAATCCAGTAAATTTTGTATTCTATCTTACTAAGACAAAGAGAAAAAAAAACCCGGGGATTTTGTTTTTGTTTGGTTCAAGCAGGTGACTCCACTCCATTGTAACTGCCCCCCCCCCCCCCCCACAGACACAAACACACACCTGGGATAGGACCAGAGCGGGTGAAATGTCCCCTCTCCTCATTATGCGCAATGTCCAGCAGTCTCTCAATGGTGGTCATCTTCTGCTGGCGAGCTCGCTGACGGCCCTTGATGAGCCGCTGTTTGGCAGCCATGCAGCGAATGTGGTCGTCAAAGACAAACCGAGCCGACAGGATGGGTATGGGCTTGGCGTGGACTGAGGACTGAGGCTTATGAACAACCACGTGGAGCAGGCGGCTGTCGTCCTTGTCTCCAGAAACTTCCACGTCCTGATCCAGGCCAGACAAAAATATCAGAATATCAGAGATGTACAGGAACAACACAACTTTTTAAATGACAATTAAGGAACCAAAAAGGCGATTTACATTACAATAACATATTTTAAATTTTAAAAAGGAGAAAAATATATTTCAGTTAATAATATATTTTCTAAAATTATTATTTCAATATTATGACTTTTGAGTAAAAAGACACAAAGCAAAAAATATAATTACATCATAAATTATCCCTCTACCCTTCCATGTTGAAATGTTAATTGTGTGTATATGAGCGTATATGTGCATATGTATCGGGGGGGGGGGCGGGGGGCGGGCGCTGCCCTATCCCTAGCAACAACACTCTTCCAGATTCCTGATTAGTCAAGTCGGTCCCAATGGGCACACTCCCCAACGGAGCACAACACTACGTCTAGGTCAAGGAGTATCAATTAGTGGGTCATCTAAACTCCAACCTCCATCACAACTCTTTTGTTTAACCAAAATCATTAACGGCCAGAAAAAAAAGGGCACTTAATAAATCAGTCTTTACATTCCCTCAGACCTGAGATGTCGATTCAGTTCCTACACGCCAGGTAAATCAGAAAGAGAAGAACGCTTTCCCTCGGACAAAGCTTCTTTTACACAGGAAGTGACTTCACAAAAACGTTCGTCAAAGTTGAACTCATATCAATAGAGAGTTCAGAAAAGTCGTAGCAGAAGGGAAACAACTATCGCTTACAAATAGAAGCCCCTTTATTGCACGTATTACTTCCCTTCTTTTAGAAAAAAATTCTGGGAAGTTGCTTTTGTAAGAATATTTCAGGGGTCGTAAAATAGGGCTGCAACATAGACGGAGGATGCAAGTGACTTAATGTGAAACAAAGGTAACAGCGACATACCTTTTCAGGAATAAAGAAAACCACCCTGAACTTATGATGCTCACATCAGAGAAACGGCCACAAATGTATCGGGAACAAATTGACCGAAGTACAACTTCCCCACATGTCTGATAATCTATCAGTCTACCAACCTGCAAGTAGCCCACAAACTTGACCACTCCCCATCCCAGCCTCTTCGAGTCTGGCTCGACTAGGATCAGTTGTACGGGATCAATCACAAGGAACCTGCGCTCCTGACGCCGACTGCAAACAACATTTTAAAGTAGGTCACAAAGTACACCATAAAGCATAGCAGTATATAACAACAAAAATTACACAGCACATTATAAAACATATCACAAAGCATATAGAATAAAGTACTTTTTAAAGTAGATTACAAATTACATTACGAAGAATGTTACACAATGCATTACAAGGTACATTATGAAGAATGTAAAAAAATGCATCACAAAGTATGTTTTTTTAGTTTAGTAAGAGTTTTACGGCACTTGCAACACAATAAGGTCATATAAGTGCCGAAGATTACAGGTGTTACAAGAGAGTAACAAACAAAAAAGGAGGAGAGATCAGGAAAATAGATGTTTGATTGGAAAGAAGGAGCAAACCACACCAGAGCACCTGCCAACCACCCACAAAAGTATGTTTGAAATACATTGCACAGTATCTTATAAGAACACAATGAAGTGCATTGCAAAGTGTGTTATGAAGTAGATAACAAGAGAGACTTAGCTTACATTACACAGCTAGATAAACGTGACAAAAACTTTCATGTTGTATAAAAGCACAACACAGGTTGTCCCCAGGAAGTAGTTGCAGCCAGTTCTGGCCAATGTTTTAAGGATGACACATGTGGGTGAGACAGACAGAACTTCATCAGACAAACAATATGTATAGGTGTATGCAGACAAGCACAAACACACATACACACGCACATGTTCACAAGTACACAGGGTCCATTAGTAAAAGTAGAATGGCATTCACACACTGGAATTAAAAAAGGTTAAAGCACACAGAACCAACTCTGTCTCATACAAAGATCAAACTGCCTGAGCCTACAATGAAATTAGAAAACAGGGTCAATCCTTGTTATAAAACAGCCCACTATGAAATGAGTGTACCATGACTCACCTCTCTCTATTCACCACTGTACAAGCAATGAGGTCACTGTTGTCTGTAGAACAAAGATTCAAAACAAATTATCCTTGGAAAAGCATGGTGACTCAGAGACTTCGGAAACAATAATTAGCAGTTTTGAGTAAACACCCCACATTTTATTTTTAAAAATAGAAACAAAACACAAAAGATAGTAAATGACCACCAGTCATTTATATATACAGTCAAACCTGCTATGGCGGCCACCTGTATAATACGGCCACCAGTACAAACGACCACTTTCCATTTCCCCCCTTCCGTTTTTTCTATAAAACTTAACAGTGTCAAACGGGCACCTGTCCAACGCGGCCACCCTATTTTATCAACCCACTGTCAAATTTACCTACCACAGGTGGCCAGGCTTGGTCACTCATTGCCCGAAGCTTTGTTATAAATTTTGAATCGGCCCCTCACGCTGTGGGCGGGCCGTCATAATTAATTCATCTATCGTTATTGTTAGTCCCTCCCATGAATTTTTACCCAAGTTGACCAATGGGTAGGCCTAACAATACATTTTAAACTGTTGGTGAGGGTAGCATGATCCGTCATAACCTATAAGCTCCGCCCACAACTCATGCACAAATCGTGTGTGAGGTGACTGGTCACTGTTTTGATTACCTAATCTGTAACAAAGTAACAATGGACATTGACGTGAACTTGAGACAGAAACGTAGCTCATTCTCTGAGTGATGGCAACCTGTGTGTTTGTTTACGAAGGCACTCGGTCTATTTTACCCTTGCACAAATTCAGCAACGGAAAGAAAGCTTAACAAAGAAAAGAAAACAACAAAAAAAAACCCAAAAACCCTTCTTACACCACCCACTACCATCTGTCAAAAGAAACCAAAAACCCTTCTTACACCACCCACTACCATTTGTCAAAAGAAACCAAAAACCCTTCTTACACCACCCACTACCATCTGTCAAAAGAAACCAAAAACCCTTCTTACACCACCCACTACCATCTGTCAAAAGAAAACAAAAACCCTTCTGAACTAGCCTAACGGCAGTCTGAAATCTGACAACTCGGAAGAGAATGATTTGCTTTCTTCATTTTGATCTGTCCTGCCTAAGACGGCCACCAGTGTTATACGGACACTTTTCTCCATGACAATGGGTGGCCATTTTACACATGTTTGACTGTAACTCCACACTCCCCCCCACCCCCTTCCCGGCACCTGTGTGTAATGTGACTCACTGAGATCCAAGACGTCCTCCATCTTGATGCACATCTCCTCCTTGGTGAGTGGCAGCTGTGTCTCCACCTCATGCATCAGACTCAGGGACAACTCACGCACCATGAAGAACACACGGATTGCCTAAAGTACGGACATACATGTGCATAATGATAGAACATATCTTACCAGATCAGACTGAGGGACAATCACGAAGAACATAGAACGAGAAGGGAGAGGACCACAAAAACACACCCACCAACCAACCACTCAAACACAAGCAAAAACACATAAGCACCAACAAACAATTAAAAATAGATCAATCTGATTGACTGATTGAGTAAAGAGAAGTAAATCACCATATACTATAAGTATTTGGGTGTTACAATAGACAACAAACTCAACTGGCGTGTCCACACTTCTCTCCTGCATAAAAAAGTGAACAAAAGACTATTTTTTCTAAGAAAGCTAAAGTATTTTAAAGTTGATAAAACATTGATGTCCATGTTCTACCATTCAACCATAGAGAGTATGATCAATTTTTGTATAACAGCATGGGCCGGGAACACAAGACAACAAGATAAAGAAAAATTAAATCGACTAATACGGAAAGCATATAAAATTTCAACATCTTCATTCCCCTACTTGGATAAATTGTACATAACAGCTTGCACTAAGAAAATTAATTCCATCTTTTTAGACAACAAACATCCCTTGTTCCCTCAAATAAAAAACATCAGTCAGAAGTAAAAGACCCAGGCTTCTGATCTGTAACAAAGAAAGATACAGAAGGTCATTTTTACCATCATCTATCAAAATGCTTCCATCTTAACCATCTTGTTTGGTGTACTTACGACCTTACAGCATGCATCAAAATAACATTGAATGTGTATCTAGCTTACGATTATTATTGTTTATATTGCTGCTCATTTATATTATGCATGTGATTGTAAGCCTACTTGTGTGTGTATGTGTGTGCATGTGTGTACGTGTGTGTGATTGTGTGTGTGTGTGTGTGCGTGTGTGTGCGCGCATGTGTGTGTGTGTGTGTGTGTGTGTACTCGTGGTGTAACACCAAACCAATGTGCCAGGATCTGGACAATAAAGATGTATCTTATCTTATCTTATATAGCGGTCATTTGGTGCAGGGAAAGAAAAAGAAAAACAGACAGAAACAACAGAAGGAAAGAAAAAAAATAAGACCTGCATGTGACAACTTCCAACCAGCCGCATAACTTTTTTATACATAAGAGTTGAGAGCACGGATCACTTACCCTCCGCGCCCGCTCCACCTCTCCACAAGGAAGACGTTTGTTGAAGTCAATGCCGGTGAGGGGCGTGCCAGTGGGGGGTAACAAGATGGATGCGTCCTGCATCAGGTACTCCACGTTCATGGGACGAGTCTGACACACAGAGAGAGAAAGAGTTAGTGAATTCCAGGGAGAGGAGGTGGGGGGCTTAAGGGTCAAGAAGTTAAGAGGAAAAGTGATTTCCTGCTGGATTTTATTCCCTTCAGGCATTGCCACTGGACAACTTAGATCTTTCTTTTAATTTTCCACAGCCCGAAAAGACACCGTAGAGGTAAAAATGTCAAAGAAAAGACGCTGGTAAAAGCATATTTAAAGAAAGACAGAGCTTATTCCTAAATGTGGTGCAACCTGCTGCGGAAGAAAACAGTCACTTTAACTGAAATGAGAATTAACGGCAAAAAGCAACAGACACATATTCATAAACATAAACCTCATTTCTATTGTCCAAAAAATCAAATATGAGCGAAATACCTCAAAACTAGTAAGTGAATAATTTCTGTCTAGAAAGCTTTCAAAACATACACGTGAAGACAAAAGCATACGGTGCTAGTTCACTCACCTTCATCTCTCTGTACTCATCCTCAAACATGTCCAGAAATATTTCTTCACTCTGCGAAACAAAACAATTAATATACAACAGATTATATCAGTGAAACACGGAGCACTGCACCTTCTTCATGAAAATTGGTAATTATATGGATTCAATGTTGGTTTCAATACTGTACAGTATTTAAACAGGCAAGACTTTCAAACCCAATGTCCAACTCCAATGTCACCCAGCCAAAGGTGGAGAGTCTTGAAACTTCCTAAAAAATCATACTGTATCCTGTTCCTTAACACTTTCCCTACCACGAGCAGCATCGGCTCGCGGACGTGGCCTCCCTGGAAAGAGAGCCACAAAATACGGCTCGAGTGGCTCGCTTTCTATTCCAATCCAGTAATGAAAACACACGAAATGCTCGGCCGATCCATGTTTTCAGAATAATAGAATAAACTTCCTGTTAGCAGTTACGAAAGAAAATATAGCACTGAGAGACAATTTTTAGTCATTTCAGCGCATTTTTTGTTCCCTTCAAAACGTAAAAATGAGAAGAAAAGCGCTCCCACTGACTTTAGTATATGTCTCATATTTTCATTTCTACATTATGTACAAATAAACAACTTTTAGTATTTCTTTGCATTACGTGAGGCAACCTACCTGGGAAGTTTGAATGATGCTGTTGTACTTTTTTAGATATGACCTTTCAAAGCTGGAAAATTGTTGATTTCATATGACACCTTTGATATTGCATTATCACTTTTAGAAACCCCAAAGTAATATAATTGAAATAAATCTTCAATATTGTATCACCATCTGATAAATTATTTTTTAACCTTCAGTCGATGAGCCATGAGCCATCTGTGTGTGTTTAGTTGGATGTTTTGACATTTTCCTTTGTTGGGGTAGGGGCGTAGAAATAGGTCAGGGAAAAGCCCTGGGCCAGTGGTGGATCCTGGCCTGGTAGGAAAAGAGTTAAAAGGACCTTCAACTGAAGACTGAGCCTGTTGTTACAAGTTCAGTTTGAGTTTTCGAGAGTAACCAATGGTCAAAGTGTCGATAATATTCAAATGTGAAACTTATATAATTAATTTATTTCAATGAGGCTTTCTTAGTTCTCAACCACATGCAGCAGCAGCTGTCACTAATAAGGTCCATTTCTTTTGTTTTTTGTAAACTACCCCCCCCCCCCCCCCCCCCCATGTATATACAAAAAGCACTGTTAACTTATAAAGTATTTTGGGTGACCCAGTCAGTCAGCAGACCTTTAGCCTGGGGTCAGTCCTTGAGCACTTGACAGCTGATCAACAAAGGGCTCACCTTGTAAAAATTGCGCAGGAGCTGCGTACAACACTCGCGGGCGTTCTCAATGCAGGCCAAGTGTCGGTCCTGAAGGTAGGACTTGTCCTCTTTATTGACCAGCTGTTTCAGGAGTCGGGTGCTCATCTCCAGAGTGGCCAGTCGTACTTTGTTACCTGGATACAGTCACATGAAACAAATTCTGTCCGAATGTACCTACAGTATCTAAAGCTCACCATCAGTCCCTTTTGCTGACACTTCTATCTAAATAAAAGTGATCGTGAATCTTTTACATCCCCATTGACACAATTTTTGTTCTGTTAGGAGGCAGGAGGATTTGACCCTGCCTGTCAGAAGCAACCCACCCTGAGTGGGATACAGCTTCCCATCAGACAGATAGAGACACTTGATAAAAAAATGTTTCCACTCCAGAACTGAATCTCAAAAGAGCCTTAACATTACACCACAAATGGCAGTCAAATAGAGGGGTTGCCCATCGTGTAGTATACAACCTTTGAAATAATAAATGTTCATTATTAACCTGTTTATCACGTTGCCAGTTTCTGTCTATATGTTGCAATAGAAAAGAAACATTCAGCAAGGTCTTTTGCATCAGAACTAACACTGAATCAAAAATTGAAACCATCCGGAACACACTGTTACACCGAATCACCTTTGATACACATTTTCTTATGCTGAACGTTTCAACATCAACAACCTTGCAACATCAACTATGAAAACTTCCTAAAAAATGTGATACTTTTGAGATCCCCTGTAGAATGATTAACATTTAATAACTAAAACTACGTTTCAATAAAAAAGATAGAGACTCTCACCTGTCTGGCAGGCCAGCTCAATGATCCGGATGAGGCGCTCTACCAAGAACAGATTGTAGTTGTCCTTACACTGTCCGCAGAGACAAAAAGGCAGTTCATCTTAGTGCACAACAAATACATTCACAAACAATACTCCAGAGCGAAGAATAAAAACCCCGCGAAAACACACACACAAGTAATCCCCCCTCACCGCGAAACAAACATTTTTGAACCATTACAAAAGTACAAAGGTAATTCATGTCAGTCTTTCTTCCCCATTAACAGATTTTTAATGCGCTTGATGCTGACCCTTAGAATGCTATAATAACCACAAGTTTGTAACTAGTGTGGTTCACATATTCTCACAATGTCTGCCACAACAAAGGATTAATTCTTCCAACTTTTGGCAACTGAAGATCGATGGGCTATTAAAAAATTTTTTGTAATGACTGGACATAGGTCCAAAGGTCAGACCAGAAGAAACATTGCTCACTATTTCAATAATTCCCTCAGTACAACATAAAGACAAAAAGAAAGGAAGATACACTCAGCCGTTCGAGTGTTTTCTCTGTCAGCATTCACAAGCTTCCATCCCCTCTGCCCCACAAACAATAGGTTGAGACAGAGAGGCCGAGACACAGAGGTGCCGCTGCAAACAGGGCTTCAGACTGGACAACATCCTACAACAAATTTTTGTTGTTTGCATTGAAAACGTAAGACAAAGGTGCACCCACATCACATATAATGACTTACATTGGATCTTTCAGTTGGCATCAAAACACTGTCAAGGAGACTTTGAGAAATTCCTGTGAAAAAAAAGCCAAAAAAAAAAACCAAACGTCAACCTCAACGTCAACAGTTTTAAAATATGCATCAAAGTCATGTTCTTATTGGCAATACATTCATAAAGTACCAAACTGTTCACTGAATTCCCTGAGCAAGGGTTGGGGGCAAATAAATAGTTTCACTGCTTGAGCGGAGGAACAGCATGCTGAACTTTCATACACACAATGCTTCGCTATCTTCTCTTCTTTCTTCATCTTTACACTTACCACAAGACCAAGTCCAAGGTTTCAAATCTATCCTTCTGTACCTAGTACAAAAACTCATATCCTCCAAAATACAACCAACAATTTCTCTTCAAACTAAAACCAAGACCCAACAATAATAACTGACTTGGTTTCCAAAAAGTAGGAGGCTAGGGCGATTCTAAACATAAAATGTTACACTTTTAAAGAAATGAATTCAGACGACACTTGAATTTTGAAGAGAAACAGAGAAAGGATGAGAAACAAAGCCCCACCAACCAATAGCGACGATAATCACAACAGCATCCGATAAATGCATAAAGACTTATTGCAAAAGACAACCCCTGTCAAATTTCATTCATGATATCAAAATATTTATGAAACCAGTTAGGTTCTATCACTGAAATAGCAGTGCAAGCAAACAGAAGTTCCATGATAAGGCACGAACATTAGGTTCCATTTGAACAATACAATTGTGTCAAAGGTAAGTGGAGTTTTTTGGCGAGTCAGCGTGCTGACCGATGCACTCAGCAGTGGACTGATCAGGACAATGATGACCTTCAGAACGAGGGGTATCAGTTTGAGCCTAGAGAAACAGAGTGATATGATACTGAACATTTAGTGCAGAGTCAAAGCCAGAAACAACAGAGGGATAAAAATTAAGTAATACCTATTAGTAGGACTCTCCAAAAGTAGTAGACAGTGAAGACCATCTAGCTTATTCAAGTCCTAACATATTCAAAGATAGTAAGCGGGTCTCACTTTAACATCTCCAGTAATGACGAGAAAGGAGCTGTTCTTTTCTGTCATAATGATATATGCACATACCAAAACACAAAATATTCTAGCTCAAAACCCTCACGTACCATTGCTTTTTCCCATGGCATACAGCAGACAGAGAGCAAATAAGGCTGCGTAGTCATTCTCACTACACTCTAAGGCATTGAAGACTGCTTCCAGATACGGTCTGAAACAAAGGGTGATTGGATGAACTTGTTCTAGAAAAACATACAACAGAGTTAAATGAAAAATTGCATGTTGGAGTCCATCAAACATAGCATGTCTCTAAAGTAAGACAACTAAATTTTAAACACAAGCATTTCTTAACCACTGCATTTTTCTTCAAGAGAGAGATGAGAGCCTCTAGCAAAAAAGAACAATTTCTAAAAGGCCTTAAAGAGTTCATGATGGGAACACTGTCTGTCCTGAACCCCCCCCCCCCCCCCAAATAAAAAACAAACCAAAAAAATTAACAACAATAATAACCTAAATCCCAAATGGACATTTTTGGGGAAATTCAGGATGGTTCCCAATCCTCAAGCCAAGGGAAATCTCTCTACAAATCAAGACAGGCTTCAACCATACAGGCTGGTACATAATACTTTCATGGTCAACAGTATTGACTTTAAGATGCATCAATACTGAGAAGTTCCAATGGCTCTGCTAAAACACAGGTGTTATAGAATATAGAAAAATACTGGGAAAAGATAAAAATAATCATTGAATACATATAAAAACTACCCCATATTAGAAACAAATCTATAAAAACATGGAGCTGGAAACTTACTACAAAGCAATGGAACAAAGTGAAAGATTTTATCAATCAGCACCCATATTAAGTAAGCTGAGATCTGTAACAAGAAATCCCCCCCTTCCCCCCCCCATAGAATCCGTCTGTGGGTGGTCAAACTCACCTGTTGTCCAGGGTGAATGTGTTCTGAGGGTTCTCTGCCATGGCACTGACTCGGGCAGCGGTCAGTTTGAGTTGTGACCTGCCCATCAGCTTCTCCTCATCGGTGGAGTTCTGTGTGGGACTGGACAGCTCTGTGTCACCGGAGCAGACCTCACTGCCCGGACTGCGGGCGCCCTCTGGGGGGAAAAGATTGCATATCATTTCCCATTCACAACTTGCTAAACTTCAACTCTGCTGACGCCATGAGTGTCACTAAACAAACAATACTACGGGGCGTTTATTTGAGTAAGCTGCTCAAACTGGAAATGTATAAGAGGTTTTCTACGTTTCCAACTTTGGCCAAAGACACTCAAGATAAGGAACACATATTTATAGACATTAATCTAAACTTGTTAAGGTCGCATTAGAAAATAAGTTTAAAAGAGAACCCCGCTCCTCTTTTCCAGCTAAAAGTCAACTCATTACTTTTGACCTGCAAATTTGACCCACTTAGCCAGTTTTGTATTGTGATCATTTTCTTTGTTCTGTGGTCAGTCCACTTGGACCAAATATACGTCTACCAGTGACTCCATTAGCATCTGCAGGGTTTACCAGATGAAAAATTTCCAGTTTCATCCTCACGACTGTGATAACTCAAGAGGATGGCTACTTCAACCCTGTCTCTTAAAGTCTACACAAGCTGTGTGGAATAATACTACATCTCAGCGGGAGGATGAAGACACTAGCAAAACTAATCTTCTCTGAATGAAATTCAAAATCATGACTGAGATGTAAGGCGAATAGCCTAACCATGACACTAAAGCAACTGACCCAATTGATTTCATCCTTTTTTGTTCTCAGCTTACCTTTTGTTCAAGGTAAAAATGTGTGTATATGGGTATGTGATGGCTCTATGAGGACCCATGCAAGAACATTTGAGAGTAACAAAAAAAAAGAATGAAAGTAGGGAGGAGGTATGACGAACATAGCGAACTCCAAGGTAATAAAAGATGTACAATACCACTGATAGTTCAGACGATAATAAATGTGATGAGCATAAGCTACATGGTTGGGAATTTCTGTGAACACCTGTTGAATCTTTTGTCATATATTTGCATACATAAAACCCCCCACCAAAAACTGGACACTGACAAGCAACTGTGGTGAATAACAAGCTTGAAAAAAATTCAATAGTTTCTTTCAGGATGAACCAGGTTTTTGCCCTGAGTATACCTGTAGAGGGCGAGCTGAGAACATCTGCTGCTGCTGCTGAGGTAGAAGCTTCCTCGGACTGGCCAGAGGACATCTTGGAACTGCCCCCTTTGTCTCTGTGGTTGTCCTGGGGGTCGTAACTCCGCTTGGGCCTCGTGTTCTCCAATGTCTTCTCCAGGGACTCCCTTGGGGGCCGGAACTCTCTTATGCCCTAAACACAATCACATCAAGCCAATATGTTCAAGATTGAATCCTACAATCTGTACAAAAAGTAGCTGCTAATTAAGTACAAGTTAGCACAAAGAAAAGCACAAATGAAAGTCGTTTAGTACAGGGAATAAGAAAGACGTTCAGACAGAAACAACAGAGGAAGAGAAAAGAAATAGGACCAGTTGGTGGCACCCTCCACTCAACTGCTAATTTAGTATGATCTTGAAACTATAAACAAAGAAACACCAAACTAATAATAATTAGTAAATTTCTTGACATATTTATTTTCTTTTATACACGTGTGCAATGTCAACAAAACTACGGTTAAATAACTAAACAGACATAAATAAATGAGAGCTGTCAAGTTGTAGTAAATGGAAAACCAGTATGGAGGCAAGCAAATTGGACACATAAACAACACCCACAAGAAGTGGAGGGAGCAGAACACATTAAAGCATACATCAACCTGTGCCTATAAATGTCCAACAAAGACCAGAGCTACCTGCAGGAGATGTACCATCAACATCAACATGGGAGTGTTTACCTTTTTGGGCATGTCTCTGTGTCCGGGGCCTGAGGGCTGAGAGAGAGCCACGTCCCCCTGGAAGATGACCTCAGCCAGCTGCTGCATCAGCGGACCATAGCGGATGATCAGAAACACCTGAGGACAAGGTCAAGGTCATAGTAACCTATATTCTGAATTCATACCTTATAGGTTTGAGTTCTGTCTTGGATAAAGATAAGCACTCAGACACAATAATGGTCATTTAATGTAGGGAAGGAGTGAGACAGATAGACAGAAACAGTAGAGGTAAAGAAAAAAACTAAGACATACCAACGGCATTCTCCATCCTTTGTTTTAGTAGATTTAGTAGAGGTTTTACGACGCTCGCAACTGCATAAGGTCATATGAGCCCCAAGGGGTGGATGTCAACAGAGAAGTCCTTACAGGGAATCAGGCATACTCTGTTCACCTCTCTAGCTTCAACAGCACAAAGTCTGCTTCGACTATCAAGGCACCCCGGAAATAGCGGGTCACAAGAGTGTGACAAACATACAAAAGAGGTAGAGGAAAATGACGATAGTAAGGATTAGGAAAGAAAAAGCAGTTCAAGCACAGTTATGAGCATGACATTAATGAGTCAGCCCATTTACAATTACATTTCGACTGTGCATAAGGACATGGTTAATGATGCTTCAGTCAGTAGCATCGCCCGGGGCGGGGGGGGTGTGTATGTGTGTGTGTGTGTGTGTGTGATTCCCCTTCCATCAACATTTCAGTTTATTACTAATGTCCTGTTGGGCACAAACTGGTCAGTTCATAGGTGAAGTTATTAGAGTAAAGAGAAGCACATCAAAACAAGTATGATGTACCAGCAGCACCCTCTAACCACCCACGGTTCGCGGGTGGGTCACATGACCATGAGGTCACACAGAGACACACAGAAACAGACACAGGGCCAAGCACAACAGACTTCTCTGAGATCATATTATTACCAAACTTTCCATAAGCACAACCCCCGGTCATGGATTTCAAACTCTGTCATGACCCTCTCTTCCCTTTAAATAAAAACTCATATAAGAAGCAAGATATCATCATGAGGAAATATCTCCAATCTCCAGCTAAACCCATGATGACTCCTTTCTTAACCTCTTTGGACTTTTCATCGACAATTTTCCATGGTACAGTAACGTTTAACAACCCTTTTAAAGACGAAACTGCAATAGAACTGAGTCACGTATGATGAAAGCCTTGAAAACTCCCCAACATGCCGGTGGAGATTCGAAGTAGTATCAACTGCATTACACCATATTGCAGTATGATACCAAAAGAACTAACCCCACCAGCCCAATCTGAGAACCACTGTCATCAACATTAGCATGAACATGAATGAGTTACCTGAGACAAGAGGAACAGGGACACCACTGAGCTCACATGCTTTCGGTCATCCTGTGGGAAGCACAAGAAATAAAAAGTTAACCAACAACAATAAATAATAACAATAATAACAACAATAATAATATTATAATCATCATAATTGAAAGCATTCCCACCAAGCCATATCCATACTAGAAACTACATTCAATGAGCTGTTAAAATTCCACATTGCCCCAACAAACCTAACTTTCCTAAACATTGTAAGCTTCCTGGGAAACATTCAGTGCAAGCTTCTACTTTACAAGTGCTAAAACACTAATATACAGTTGGAATCTTTCAATACCCTTCTCGACAATGATATTTGTAAAGAATTCAAGAGGAGCAGCTGGCCCAGTGGGACAGAACACAATGGCAACAAGGACAACAGACAAATGAACTACAAGGCCATAACAAACACCAGTGGACAGATGAACACTGTAGGCCAAGTCTTGTGTCCTATAGGCCCACCTACAAAACCGTGAAGACCAAACATTGGAGAGGGGGCTCTCATGGCCTAGAAGTGAAGGTGTTCGCCTCCCATTCAAAGGTCCCGGGTTCAAATCCGGGTAGCGATTGACAAATTTTCTTCTCTAAAATTGTCTCCTTTCACCTTCTCTTGCAATATTCTGTCATCTGCTCTTTGTCTCCAATTTATTCCCCCACTCTCTCACCGCCTTTGCCCCCTCAACTGGGCTCCTGACTCTTTCTGCAGCCTTTCTACTGCTACTCCTTGGCTCTTTCTTACTGCTGTCTTTCAGCCTCACCCCTGATCTTCTGGTAGGAAAGATCTACACCTAGCCTTCTCGGAAAAGGGTGAAAAAGCTCGGAGGTCCCGTGACCAAGTTGCACACGATAAAGATACCTTGGTGGTCCAAAAATCGATAAGAGTAGGCTTCGGCCGCCACCCGAGGAAAATTCAAAATTTCCTGCCAATTGAAAATGGATGGTGTGAGCCGCGTGCTCATATGACCATGTGCAGTTGCAAGCACCGTAAAACACTTACAGAAAAAAATTAAAAAACAGAGAATCTTAAAAAAAAAAAGCTGAAGGTGGGCGGTTTTCGGGTGCTCTGATGTGGTTGCTCCTCCTTTCTTATTAAACATCTATCGCCATTATCTGTCCTATTTTTTAAGTTTTAGTACAAGTTTTATGGTACTTGCAACACAATAAGGTCATATAAGTGCCGAAGATTTGAGGTGTTACAAGAGAGTAACAAACCCAAAAAAGAAGGAGGGTAGATAAAGACGATAGATGTTTGATATGAAAGAAGAAGCAAACCACATTAGAGCACCCGCCAACCACCCACTCCTCCTATTTTATGTTTGTTACTCTCTTGTTATGTAAGACCTCTAATCTTCTGCACTTATGAGATGTAATTGTGTTGCAAGTGCTGGAAAACGTTTAAGAAGAGAAATTAAACAAAACCATTAGCAGAAGAGAAATGTGTACAAAAAATGATCAACTCGCAAAGCATGTCATTACAGTAAGTATTTCTACTTTTTTTTCTACAATCTGCCCCATGTGGTCTGACAGTAGTAAGAAAAAACTGAGTTTTAAGCAAAACTGATCAGGACCTGTCAAAAAAGTCAAATCCAAATTTTCCACAGTAGGTGACAGGTCTGTGTGAGCTATCAGCCTTCCGACACATCAGGATAAAAAAGGTAAAAAGCGTGGACTCACTGGTTCCTCTGAAAATTTCTTCCTCTTGGTCAGTGAGTAGACGTAGAGAGGCACTAAGAGCCTGTTGATGAGCTTATCGGTGAGCACTTCGTTGAGCGTGTCAATGTCGATGAGGAAGATATCGTTGAGATAGTGGAGGTGGTCCAGATGCTCCGCCACCAGGTCAGCCAAACGATCTCGGCTACGGTGGCTTCATGGGTTTCGAGTAAAGAGAATTTCAATAAAATCAACATTTTAATCAATCAACATGTATTTCAATATCTGTATGATCAGACAAGTAAATAATGAAGCTCATTATCTATCTCACTGTTGCTATTGTGTGCAGCCAGTTGGCTTTCAATGAGTCAGGAGCCACCCCATGTCTCAGTCTAAATAATCGCCTCTTACTTCAAAATCAACACGAGTGGCAAAAGGAAGCGCTGTCAATCCAGATCTTGTGGGAACCACGACAGGTTGTGGGACCATGCGGGCAGACAAAATAAACTCAATTATTGGGGTATTTACAAAACTTTGGCTGCCAAACATCAGATATAAACCCCCTCTAGTGCCCCAAAATAATGTGAAATCCACAAATCAAATTGTTTGTTCATTTGTTTCGGTAAAGAAAAGCATATCGGCACAATAATGATCATTTTGTGCAGGGACAGACAGACAGACAGAAACAATAGAGGGAAAGAAAAGAAGTAAGACCTACCACTGGTGTTCTCAGAACCCCCACAATACAAAATTAATACATGGCATATAGCACAAACAAAGGGACATTTCAAGTTTGAGCCTTGGACTTACTCATGATCATGCCTCACACAGGTATCCAGGTCAAGTATGTGGTTCCCAATGAACCACACCAAGTTAGAGAAGTAAGGGGCAGCTGTTCTATCGCGGATGTAGCACAACATGGCTTTGTCGTCAACTGAAAATACAAAGTAGTTCATTGCTAGTGTAATTATCTGAATAAAGAGACCCATATTAACACAATAAAGCTCATTTAGTAACAGGAAACAGCAAGACTGACAGAAACAATAGGGACGAGTAAAGAAATAGGATCTACCAATCTACCTTTGACCATCCATAAAGCATCTCAATAGTACAAATGAATTTAAAGTGTGTTCACGACACAAAATATAGCCGGTCACATATACAACGTACACTGTTCTCATGGCTAATCAATACAGGTCGAGTAAAAGAAAAACTTGCACTCCGATAAATCCGGATTCTCAAACACTTCAAAGTTTTTATCAACTTGATCATTTTGAAAAATAAAAACTGTGTCAAATCAAAGTAGCTGAAAAAGGACACTGCACTTCCACAATATAGGCCATATAAATAAAGGGAAAAGGAAGAGGCCAAACAAAAACAAACAACAAATAGGAAAAAAAAAAGAGAAAAAAGTGCAATTTCTCAAAGAAGGTTAAACAATAACAAGCTATTGACATGGGTAGAACAAGTGACAGTGGCACTGAATGAGGTGCAAATTAGAAATAACATTTCCAGAACAAATCAGAAGCACATGGGACTGACAGCATTTAGATATACTCCGTATTCAAACAAATGTTATCATTACTGAATTGTAACTTACTAGCACTATAACAGCAGCACTTTGCTAGATACAAGACCAATAGAAAAGAAACACTGAGCAGCAGCAGAAGGAGTAGACCATAGCAATCATCACTCCCCTTCACTGCCCCTTCCCCCTCC